CCAGCCACCTCGCCGGCTGGGGCGCTCTGGTCCAGAACCATCCAGGGTCTTGCTGGACCACGGACGCTGCCGGAGCAGAGAGGGCCGGACGGAAGAGGTGCCACCTGTCTTAGGAGAGTTACTGCCGACGTGGCCTCCCCCCTGCGGCTCCTCCGCTGCACCAGGACTTCAGTCGGTTTGGGCCAACGTCTCTCATGGAGCCAGGGGGACGACCGAGCTGGGCAGCGATTCTCCCGGCCTGGAACCTCCACCTGCCCGGCTCTGGGTTTGGCGACAAACGATACAAACACGTAGACAGGCCCAGCACCGCCCTCACCCCGTCCCCCTGCTTGTGTGTTGGATCCCTCGGCCTGCCGTAACCTTGTCCTCTTAGAACCCCACAGGGCTGCCGAGAGCGAGAGCCCGCTCCACCAGGGTGCAGAACGCGGGACGGCTCCAACGCTCGAGTATCGGCCTCAGCGTCACTGTTTGGGGAAGTTCTGGGGAGAGCCCGGCACGTTGCTAGGTGCCTGGAGGACTTCTCCGGGCTGGCAAACAGCTGGCATGGCAAATGGAGCCGTTCTCCACCCAGCAGCTGGGGCTGGAAGTGGGATACCCTTTAGCATCCAGCCTCGGGGCCCCTCTCTTTAATATTGCCCCCGGTTAGTGGGGGCCTAGTACATGGAGCTCTAATAAAGGAACCGTAACTAAGACTACGTCTACACTGACTCATACGCCAGCAAAACGTTTGCTGCTCTGGGCAGGATGCCCTGGAAGCTGGACACTTGGGCGGCCGCTCAGGAGAGATTCCAATGCCACCCGGCTGATCAGCAGAGCGCCCCCAGCTCGGTTTGTGTCTCTGTTGGTGGTGCACATCCGCACATGCCTCGGTGCACACAAAAAATTGATTCCGCACATGGATAAAAAAAACCCGCATGTGGATGGAACAGGTTAGAGGGAACGTTGCTCAGGGGTGTGAAAACACACCCCTTGCAGAGACCTAGGGGCGGCCAGCAGGAGAGCACAAGGACCCGGTGTTCTGTCGGCCGGAGGTGCTCTCCCACGCAGAGCGGCCGCTGCGCAGTGCGCTAGTTTGGTGACACTGGGTGGAGAGCCCTCCAGCAGTATCGGCTCTCCAGCGCTAGGAACAGGCTTCGCAGCGTAGGAGAAAAGAGGCTTTGGTTAGCCCCAGGAGCACCTAGCCCCCAAATACACAGCACAGCTGTTTGTCTTTGGGACTCCGGCCCAAAGCGTCGAGTGGCAAAACGCCCGCCGTGACACGGCAATGGTGCAGACTTTTTTATTCCAAGCCCTTTGCGTTCTGTGTTGGACACGGACTGAAATCCTCCAGCTCCCTGACAGAGGGAGTCAGCGAGTCCCTGTGCATCGGTAATCTGTTACTGGGATCCGACGCTCCTTAAGGAAGTGTCCTGCAGGCTGTTAGTCAACACATGGGATTTCCAGCAGGGTTTCCGTCTTGCATGAAGAAAGAGAAGGTGCAAGGGAGAGGGATGAAAACAAAATGGGTGACGTCGTGGCCCAACAGAAGAGAGTACTCTTACTCTCATGGTGATGAGCCCAGTGGAACCTTCCAGCCCGGTAAGGAAGTTAGATGACTCGATGCTTCAAACCCTACCAGCGCAATACAAAACAAACCGCAATTCCCCCCTCCTGCCAGCTTCTTCCTCTGGATTGCGGAGGCGGATGCTTTCCCCAGCACTGTCCCATGAAATCGGGAGCGATTTAAAACGTCCTGTGGGGCTGTATTTTGAAAGACAGTGCCTGGCCAAAACCCCCCTTTCTTAAAAATGTCCACACCATTGTCAAATATTTGCCTTACATTTTGGCCTGTGGAAGTGTTTGCTTAGTCTCTAGGAAGTGGAATGCAAACTCCATAATACCTGAGTCTGCGTCAGCCTTTCAGACTCCCAGCGTTGGAGTGACCCTCTAGTTCAGTGTCTCTCAACCGGCGGTGCGACTACCCTTAAGGGTACTCGAGAGACGTCTGGGTGATACGGCAACACAACTGACAGCTGGAAAAAAAGGAATGTTTGTGTTAAGTTTGACAGCGCTTTCTTATTTTTGTACTTTTTACATCCAAAAATGTCATCGCTCACCTGGCTACGATCAAGTTGTTTAAACAAATGTGTTGCAATGGTAGAAAAAATGTGTGTCTGAAAACTGTAGGTGCTGGGGGTCCTTATGATTTTTTTTAAAAGGGGTACGTTATAAAAACAGGTTGAGAACCACTGCTCTAGTTAGGCAAAACAAGTTCAACCGTAGCTAGTCCTCTGCATTGCACTCAGTCGCTCGGTAGAACCCCAGAGTTACAAGCCCCGGAGCAAAGACCCGACCCAACAGTCACACGCCTCCTTGGAGCCAGAAGTATGTGATCAGCCGGCAGAGACACAGAGAAACACCTTAAACAAACACGTACTGCGCTCGACTGTCTGAATCGTAAACGACTACAAAAATGAAAAGGAAGGCTTTAAAAAGATTGGACAGGGGGGAAGGAAACCGTGTCTGTGCTTGTTGCACTGAAATTAAGACACTTCAAAGCACCATTGTTTTGTCTGCATGATAGAGTTCAAAGCTGTAGTAAGTCAGTGTGAGGGGAAAACAGTTGCAAGAACAGCCATTGCGTGTTGGGCCGAGCATGTCGGAGTGACGAACGGCCCCGGCTCCCAAGGCGCTCCTGTCCTTCTTTCTCAAGAAAAATGCAGCTCCCAGCGGCGGGCGGCAAGCTGCATGATCTGCCGGCAGCCCCTGACTGCCGAGACGCAAGGCGTGCGCTATTCACAGCGGGAGTTGGGAGAGAAGATTTCTCTCTCAACTCCGTGAAACTGAGCTGCGGTCTAAGCCTGATGAGGTCATGTCGCGTCGTAAGACAAGATGGGGGCTTGCTGTATTCATTGGTACTATAAACCCACTACCCTTTAGCTAGAGGCAGCTTTAAAGGTAGAAAAAAATAGCCCATCCCCCCATGACAGCTGGAGATGGCTGCTGCTTCGGGGGCTCCAAGGCCGGCCCCAAAGTAACGGCGTGGAAATGACCATGGGGAAGCGAATCCTGGGCAGCAGGAGAAATAACCGCAAAGCAGAGCCAGCGAACACCTGCTCCCTTTGCCAGGGCCGCACGGCTGTCTTCACTCAGCTCCTTAGAAAGGGGCTTTCGCTCCCCACAGAAGGGGCGTGGCAGGTCCGTGGCTTGTGGCCTTGAAAACTGAGCCGGCCCCGGTGCTAGTGCAGGGTCGCCAGCCTTTGTAAGCACGAGGTCGCTTTTGGAGCTTAAGTGCAATCCAGGATCTACCTCCCACCCAAACGCCCTGGCCCCGCCTCCTTCGTGCCCCCTCTCCGAGGCCCCGCCCCTGCTCACGCCGTCCTCCCTCTCCTGCCCATCCTCCCTCACTTTCGCCAGGCTGGGGCAGAGGGTTGGGGGGCAGGCTCTGGTCTTGGGTTAAGGGATTTGGAGTGCGAGAGGGGCTCTGAGCTGAGCTTGGGGCAGGCCGTTGGGGTGCTGGAGGGGTTCTAGGTCCAGGCTCTGGGAGGGCGTTTGGACACAGGGGTGCTCAGGGCTGGAGCAGGGGCTTGGGTGCCGGAGGGGTTCATGACTAGGGTAGGGTTTCGGGATGTGGGCCCTGTTTACCTCCAGTGGTTCCTAGGTGGTGGTGCAGTGGGGCTAAGGCAGGATCCCCCCTGCCCTGGCCCTGCACCACTCCCCAAAGCAGCCAGCAAACTCCATCCCAAGTCCTGCTGTGCCCTCTCTCTGCTCTGGGGAGAGGATACAGGGTGGGAGGGGGCATCTTGACATCAGCGTCCTCCTCTCCCTCCCCTGCCCTGCCCTGCATGGTAAACAGGAGGCTCCTGATGGGACAAAGCAAAGGGCAGGAGGTGCACAGCAGTCTGTGGAGGGCAACTGAAGTGCTGGCGCTTGATAGCCTCTTGGCCAAACCAGTCAAGAGCCCGTCAGAGGCTCCAAGATCTACCGGTAGATCCCGAGCTACTGGCTGGTGACCACTGTGCTAGCGAATCTGAGCTAGAGAACCTCCTAGGTCTCTTCTCTCTCTGTCGCATTTCTAGTTCTGTAGGGCGCGGGCGGAGTGGAGAGAGCCCGTGTCTGGAAAAATGCTGGTTTTGTTGGCATTTTCGTGTTTCCTGATAGTCACAACTGAAACAAAATGTTTCACGTTGAGTTGATACAAACTTACATTTTTTGTTTTAACACGTCAAATCCTTCAGTTCTGACCCCCTCTCCCTTCCCAAGTCAGCATTGTAGTGTCAGCCTCTCTGAATCAATGTTTTTTGGCATTTTTCCTTCCGCAACATTTCCCAATATGTTGCATTTTTCCATTCTGATTTGGAAGGGAAACGAAGATCCAAATATTGACACTTTTCATGGGAAGACAATCCAATTTCGTGAGCCGCTAAATTGAACGCGGGAAGATCAACCGCCGTAGCGCCAATTTCCCAGCAATGTAGACGTGTTCTCTCGCGTGCTTGTTTTCCAGTTTGAATCGTTAATGGCAGGTAGGGAGAGATTTCTGGTTTAGCCATTCACGGTGACTCATTTGTTTTTAAGCTATAATTGAAGTGTCCAATTAAAGAGAGAGAAACTAAGGTGCTCCCAAACAATCTTAACCTCCCCGATGGTTCACATACTTTCCTAACATGGAAACATTAATTATAACCAGGAACAAAGCAACACATTTAAATTCTGCCCTTGGCTCGCTCCTGATTTCCCACATCTTTGAACCCAAGGAGATCTGAGGCGTTGATAGGCAAATATATTCTAATGTGTGTGAGAGGCCATGCTCGCGCTGCTCTGACGGGCCAATCGGAAACAGCAGGAGTGTTGCATTTAGGGCCATGTGGCCAAATCTGGCTTCGGGCGAGGTCAGTGGGACTTCTGTCCTCATGAGGGCTGGGGGGTTGCCTGGCCGTTCGGACGGACGGGTCGTGGTGCCGGATGCTGCACAGCAGGGCCTGCTCCCCCGCGTGCTGCCCTGGG